ATTTTTTTTGGGATAGAAATTTTTTTTTTCAATTTTCGACGAAAAAGTCGCATAGTACAACTCTTTAGCTTTAAAACCTATTTTTCAAAATTATTGTACGATTTTTTAAAAAAAGTTATGACATTTTAAAATTAACAGTTTCAGTTACGCCAATAGACGTAATTTCATTTTTATAATTGAGTGACATTTTGAATGGGAATTTACTGCCAATTTTAAAAAGAAGTTTACTTAGGTTGGTTTCATAATAGACAAAATCGTATCGTCCTGAAAACGATTTTCAAAACAAAAAGATTAGCAACAATAGAAAAAACATTCTCGCGCATCGTTTTGGCATAAAAATCTTCTGCAAGACGATACAATTTTGCCTATTGTGGAACTAACCTAAAGATTTAAAACAGGTGGTAGAAACATGTAGAAAATTTGGGAAAAAAGTAACAGAAAATTTAAAAGAAAATTAGCTGAAGATTTTAAAAAAGGATTGGCAGAAAATTTGAAACAGAAATTTTCATTGAGAAGAGGCAGATAATAGTAAAGGAGACGGCCGCTTGCGGCCGTCGACTGCGCTAGTACGATAAAAGAAAATAAATAAACACGAAAACTAATTTTTTACAGGTCAAAAATTACTTGAGATTGTATTATCAAAGAAATGCGATTAAATTCTAGTAAAACATTAATAGCAAACCATTTCTGGATTATGAACAATTTAGATTTCAAATTAGCAACTCAAGGAAATAACAAGAACCAAAAAAATCTAAAAACAATTTCATCGTTAACTGTATTGGATACGCCACTTTTTATTTTTTAAATCTAACATCAGATTCGTATTCAGCGACCTCAAAAACCCCCCACAGAGTAACAAGTTTCAATCGATTTCATTCATTTTAAAATTTTTTGCCCATCATATTGGATCCGCAATTTTGAATTTTTTAAACTGACATTATATTTGTAATCAGCGACCTTAAAAACCCCCGAGTAGCAAGTTTCAAAGATATTCGAAAATTTTTTTGAAATAATATACCATTTTATATCCGCCACTTTGAATTTTTTATATATTCAATATTTATGTTATTAAAGTCACTAAATCCAAAACAACATTGAGAAGAAGCAAAAATTCAGTTTTAGATATAGAAATTATATAATATCCATGGAAATCAATTTCTCAAGATTCACCACCCTCCACCATGCCTGAAAAGGAAAATTCGAACTAACTTTATGGTCGCACTACGTTCTTCTCTTTAGATACATCTTAAGGAAGAGAACCTACTACATGGCAGTCCTGGGCAATCGAAATTTTTTTTGTGCCGGTGTTATTAATATTTCATGTTATAAAATATTCAAGATTAAAAATAATTTACTGCATTAGCTAAAAATTTACAAAATATTTCTATAATTTACTACAGAATGGAACAAACATTTAATGATACTATTGTGACTGACATGTTACAGAACAATTATAGTTTTGACACAATGTACTTATTCTAGAACAGGGTTCTTGATATTTTTTAGAATAAGATAAAAAATCTTTTCAAGAACTGTATAAAATATTCTTTTAGCATACTTCTAGAACAGAAATTTAACAAAATTTCTGGAACGTTTGCGACTTACATGTTTTAGAACACTTATAGAACAAAATGTTTTACAAGAGTTCTGGAACAAAAAAGAATGGAACAGTTTTTTAACATATTAGGAAAATTTTTCTAGAACAAGGTTACTCCTTGGTTATAGGACTGTTACATGTCCTTTATGGAACAAGGGTTCTAGAACAGTGTTCTTAAGAATTAATAGAACAATTACATAGGCCTGTAAAATCTTGCTTAAGTCTGTAACAAAAAAAGGGGGAGTTGATTCTTATAGATTTTTAACGTAGAATCCGAAATTGACGTCCAAAATGGCTTATCACGTCAGAATTACATGAAAACTATAAAGGTTGAGGTATAGGTACATGGAGTAATAATAAAAAAATAACTTAATATTTAATGAAGACACATTAAGAAGTAAGATATAAGTATATCTTATTTTTTAATGCCATAAGAATTATTAAAACATAAGTGTAATATATGTTTTCTGGTAATAATACGTAAAGAATAACGTAATAAATGTATTTCGAAAAAATTTATATATCCTAATTTGTTTATAAAAAATTGTTTAAATAATTTTCTGCATTTAATTTGCAATATAAGAAATAATTATTAAATACGTCGTAATTAAAAATTGAGTTACTGTTTTATTACTACTTCTTGTATTTCTCAGCCTTCATAGTTTTATATGTAAACTACCGTCGGAAATTGTCGGTACGGCTGACGTGCGAGGAGCAGAAATTTGGTGCTGACTTTAACGCAAGATATTTTAAGTTAGAAAAAAGATAGAGACTTCTTACTTAGATGGTTGGAAAGCTGATAAAATTCTGCTTCTCAATGTATATCAAGAAATTTTTTTTCTTTTTTATATGGTTCCGTACTCGGTTCGGAACCCTATTAATATCGGTTTTTTTGAAATCGTGTACCCTCCCCCTAGCGGCCACACGAATTTATCTGGAAAGCTGAAATTTGGTACACATATGTATTTTCGCGTGTAGATTACAGGTAAAATATAATGAACCTGATAGGAATTGATTATCATAGCGTTGTCAAGGAAAAACCATGAATTTTTACGAAAAATGCCTAAAAATGACTATGTACCCCCCCTCTAGCAGCCACATCTTTTGACATAAAAAGCTCAAATTTGGCACACTTACGTATTTTAACGTGAAAATTACAGGAAAAATATATCGAACTTGATTCACATCAATTTACATAGCGTTGTCAAGGAAAAATCCAAAATTTCGAAAAAAATTGATTTTTTCTCCCAAGCGCACACAATATGCAACCCAGACAGTTCATATTGAGTATACAAATGTATTTTTACGGGAAAAAAAAGCAATAACGATTAGAGTTGATGATTAACTTTTTATCAAGTTTTTCAAGAAAAAATGACAATTTTAGGAAAAAAATGTATTTTTCCACCAAAAAACGAACAAAATTTTATTTAAAGGGATTTAAATTTATATATTTAAACGTATTTTTACGTGTAGATTACAAAAAAAATATAGCGAGCATGATTGGAGTTGATTATCATAGCGTTGTCAAGAAAAAACCATGAATTTTTACAAAAAATACCTAAAAATGACTATGTACCCCCCCCCCCCCCTAGCAGCCACATTTTTTGACATAAAGAGCTCAAATTTAGTACACTTACGTATTTTTACGTGAAAATTACAGGAAAAATATAGCGAACTTGATTCGGATCAATTTACATAGCGTTGTCAAGGAAAAATCAAAAATTTTGAAAAAAATGATTAATTCTCCCTAGTATTTTTCCGCAAAAAACGAAAAAAATCGGACAAGTGCGAGTTACACTCGCACTGAAATCGAGGGTTCCGTACTCGAAGCGAACTTATTTAATATAAAAACAAATGTTTAAAAAATATGTGTTGTATGTTAAATAATATATGTGATACAAAAAGAAAGAATTTTTAAAAAAAATTTGAGAAAATTGTTCCTCCTTTGGTATAAAAACAAAAAAAATTTTTAAATATGTGTTGTATTTCAAACAATATAAGTTATACGAAGAGGAACAATTTTCTTAAATTTTACAAAATTGTTCTTTTTGTATCACTTATATTATTTGAAATACAACACATATTTAAAAATTTTTTTTGTTTTTATACAAAAGGAGGATCAATTTTCTTAAATTTTTTTTTAAAAATTGTTCCTTTTTGTATCACATATATTATTTAACATACAACACATATTTTTTAAACATTTGTTTTTATATTAAATAAGTTCGCTTCGAGTACGGAACCCTCGATTTCAGTGCGAGTGTAACTCGCACTTGTCCGATTTTTTGTATTTATTACACCGAAAAGATTTTAAGAAAAAATTACGCAATTTTCTACTTTCGTACTAATGTTTTTTGACTCCCGGCATAATCTAGAATAATGCATGGAAAAATTTGAGAATTTTACAACAGAATATTTAGGGTCTTAGCTTTAATTTGCATTTTTGAAACTTTAAAAATGTTTTATGGTTCCTGAAATATGTTAAAAAAGGTCCGAGCATGTTTTCCTACAACATCACTTTTCGCCGCCTCGCTGCTGGGTAGTAGAAAAACATTCTTGAACATTTTTAAAATATTTTAGGAACTACAAAACATTTTTTACTTTTTAAATTTTTAACCCAATCTTTAAGTTTTTAGCTTTAATTTGCTTTGTTGAAACTGCAAAAATGTTTTGTAGTTCCTGAAATATGTTAAAAAATGTTCAAGAATGTTTTTCTACAACCCAGCAACGAGGCGGCGAAAAGTGATGGTTGACGGCTGAGTTGTAGGAAAACATGCTTGGACCTTTTTTAACATATTTCAGGAACGACAAAACATTTTTTAAGTTTCAAAAATGCAAATTAAAGCTAAGACCCTAAAGATTATGTTGTAAAATTGTGTCAATATTAGAAAATTGTTGGGACATTTTATCCCGTGCGCACAACAATTTCAGTATGGAGAGTAAACTTTTAAAAAATTAATAGATTTTCTTAAAATTTTGTATCCAGGGGTTTTAGATACCGCAGATTACTAATCTAAAGTCATTTTTTAAAAATTCAAAATGTCAAACCTCTAGAAACAAAATTTTTAAAAAATCCATTTTTTTAAATTTGATCCGACATTACGTTCCTCAGAAACCATGCACACATCATTCAATGTATCCAGGGACGAAAGACAATTCACTTTTTTCAGAAATTATGTGTAGAATAACTTGAATTAAAGGGTTTTGGTTAGTCACCGGTTTCTACCATATCTGTTTTGGATAAGTAAAAATTTATTTGTAAGATTTAATTCTATCATGAATAACTAAAAAAAAGCCAGTAGATTTTTGAAAAATCTGTAACCTTTTCCACCACAAAAACCATCCACTTCAAAAATACTATATATTTAAAATGAATAAAATACTAGTTTGAACGTTATTTCAGGTACAATTGATAGTGGTAATAGATTTCCTGTAGTATTGTATATTCATGGAGAAAGTTATGAGTGGGGTAGTGGCAGTTTATACGATGGTAGCGTTTTGGCAAGCTACATGGATCAAGTGATTGTGACAATCAATTATCGCTTAGGAGTTCTTGGATTTTTAAATACTAATGTTTCCCCACAAACTCGAGCTAGAGTAGCTAACTATGGACTAATGGATCAAATAGCAGCACTTCACTGGATCCAACAAAATATATTTTTATTTGGCGGAGATCCTGGTAATGTTACTCTAATGGGACAAGGAACAGGTGCAGCTTGTGTTAACTTCCTTGCCATCAGTCCTACAGTTATAAATGGTAATACTACAGAATATATTTACGTAAGCACTTGGAAGAAAGAAAATTATCCACCCAGCACGAATTACTATCAGAATGTGACAGTAATATCACAATATTCAATTCATTCCAACGTTCTCTAATAATAGATCGTCCGGGAGATCTTAGGATCACACGCGTTTCAAAATGTTGCGCATTAATACATTAATGTCCATAGTCATAGACAATCAGATATCAAAAAGACAACTGTTGGAATCCTAGCATGAGTACACTGGAAAAAAAAGATAGCGTTGCGTCACTTTTTCGAGTCTTGCAGCGCGATTCAGCTTTCAGGACTACTGTGTGTCTTTTAAAGGGACGCAACGCTATCTTTTTTTTCAGTGTACTACTAATAAAATTTGACGCTATACATTTTTTAAAAAATAATTTTTTTAAACAATTTGTTTAAACCCAATAAATAAATTGTATAATTCCAAAAAAATAATAACACCATTCGATTTTAAGTAAAAATTACTAAAGGAACATGTATTACTTCAATCCCTCATAACAAAAGGATATCCATAGGATATTCATATCAATGGTCGATATCCTAAAATGGTCCCCAGGATATCTTGGGATATTCAAACCGCCGGTCTGTGGGACATCAACAGGACATCCATAGGATATCCACAGGATATCCCTAAGACATCCACAAAATATTTATTGCATATTATATCGCAGGATATCCATGGGATATCCTCAGGATGTCCGTGGGATATTCTTAGAATATTCACGGGATATTTAATATCTCAACATATATTTTTAAAGGTTAAAATTGTTAAGCTAATATAATGAATAATAATATAATAAAAACAAAAATCTTATGAGCTTCTAATTTATTTTAAATGAAGATTTGAAACGCATTTTTCAAAGTTCTTAAATAAACTCATGCACTTAATGTATAATTAATATTGATAGTTATTCGTTACTTGCGGGGAAGAATTTATATTGTTTAAAGCCAATTTATTTTCTGACAATATTAAGCATATGAATAAAGGAATGAATCACGAATGAGAAAAAAATTAGTTAATAATTTTTCAAATTAAACAAGTTGCATTTTATTTTATTTATATAAAATTTAATTCACAGAATATTCTCACTCGTAGTCTCATAATGACTTTAAAAACAGTATCCTGAGAATATCTTCTTGACATCCAGAAGATAACTGAGAATATCCTGAAAATATCTGTGGGATATCCTGACGATATCTATGGGATATCTGGAGGACATTCATGAAAGTCTATAGAGATATCCAGAAGATATCCTGTGGATATCCTCAGATATCCATGAAATATCCAAAGGATATCCAAACCGCCGATTTTTTGGATATCCTTAAGAGATCCTTTTGATATCCATAGGACATCCCTAGGATATCTGCGGGATATTATCAATATATCCCAAGATATCTTATGTTAATAGGGAATTGTTTTATAATGTTACATCCTAGTGTGTAAGGTTATAGAATAATTCAGTAACAGTTCTAGAACAAAAAGTATTAAGCTCTAGAAATTTTAACTAATTAGTTATTAAAAATGTAGTCCCCCTCAAGGCACAGTTCTAGAACAATGTTCTAAAACATTGTTTTGAAAAACATGAAACATAATTTTATAACCAAAATTTTTTTAGAAATAATAGTTTAATTACTTGAGTCTGTCGCGATTTTATTATTTAACAATAAATTAAATTATTTGAAAATCACTAATATATCAATAATAACACAGGCCTGCAAATTCTAACTTTTTTTAGTCATAATGAATGCGACGGAAAAGGGAAATATTGCGCTGAACATGAATCCGGTGTCCAAAATGCTCAATCACATAAAGTTTTTGCGAAAAATGAGATTGAAACCTCCTAAAAACATAGTTTTTGGCATTTTTTGAAACATCGTAAGTCAAAATCCTGACGTCATAGAAACTTTGTGTCACTTCGCAGAAACGTTGTTAAACATTGCAGCTGCATTTTTGTAACGAAGGCCCTTACTTGTTTAACTTTTCTGTATAAAATCAATAAGGGAGAATCAGTACGGTTGGGCCACGTTTTGACTTGTGTCCATAACTTCCGTTCTAAACCGAATTTCGGATTTTCTCACGTACAGTTAGAAAGATTTTTTCAAGTAGAACATTTTTTATGAACACCAGAAAATGATTGGACCAAAAGTGTAAAAGTTATAGGCATTTTAAAAAATAAATTTTGTCGTTACGGTCGGAGGAGGGCTTCACGGTTGGGCCACCGCACAGAATCAATGTTATCTGAAGGAAAATGATTAAAAATGTCCCGCCACAGAAGAAAAATTTTATTATTTTCATCCCTAAATCTGTATAATATTTTCCTGCAATAAATTTTACCCTAATTGAGGGCGTCACCGCATATTTGTTAAAATAGTGTTTTTCGCGCAATTCAAAATTCCCGCGGTTGGTTTTTCTCTTTCTTCCCGAAGTTGGTGTAAAAATTCAAGAAAAGTGAAAAAATGAATAGAAACGTTCCTAAAACGTTTCATATATGTTAAAATAAAGTATTAAAAGCGTCTCAAGACAGGGAAGAGGGGGGTCCCGAAAATCTCACAAAAGGGGACGGGGTACAAATTTAAAAAAAAATCTTATTTAAATTAATGAACGTTTTAAGAACACAAAACGTTTTTAATGCGTTATTGCAGTAGACTCGAAATATGTCTTTTTTCCCACTGGTAAATGATGTTTTTGACACATCGCTACATCGAAAAATGAATTTATGATGTCAGGACGTATCATAATTGCGAAATTGTAAGTGGCCCAACTAACACTACATTTATTGGCCCAACCAACACTATCACGTCGTTTTACTTTTTTATTACACATAAAAAAACGCATGATAAACGTCGAATACGGAACCACAATTTCAAAGAACACTCTAACGAAGAAACTTAGTCAACTTACTTTATTGTTTGCATCTTCTTCTTTTATTCAAATTACCTTTTTCGGATACCACAAACAAGTTTTCCTTTTCATCTTTAGCGCACTTTTACAAAAAACACGTTTGTACAAATTGCGCATTTCACTGAGACTTTGCTAAAAGTGACGTGAAAAGTTTATTATTATCGCTAGTAATTATTTGCATGCGAAGGTAGATGGCGCTAATGTGAAAGAGCTTTAAACGCAGAACTGGCCTAACCGTAAAGGTAGCCCTTCCGTACTGACCTTCCCCTACTATAGTCGCGACATTAGTCTGACTGACTAACAAGTAACACTACGGAACCCGACCTCACCGATTTTGTTCGGTCAAGGATTTTCAGTTAGAATATGAAAAAATATTAGATACGTTTGTTTTATCAATTTTAAGGGTAGAAACCACCCTTCGAAAGTTGAATTTTGCGGTATTTAGGACTTAAACTATTGCCCGCCTGTTTATTCAAGATAATAGAATAACAATGCTTGTAATAAAAAAATATTAGTCATTTAATTTAGGGCTCTTAATAACCTTAAAATTGAATTTTCAAAAAACCACCCTCAACCCTTAAAACCACCCCCGTTACATTTGAACTTGATTTTATAATAATTTTCTTTCATAAAAATTTTGGGCTAATGTAGGTCATTTCACAGGTTTCCAGAATAATTTTTCAAAAAACTACCTCTTTAACCCCAAAACCACCCCCTGAATATTATAAATTTTTAATTTTTGAAATTTTTCTCTACAGTAGTCTATGGTTAATCTGATTCTTTTATGAAGCTCTAAATGACATTTTTGAAAATACACCCTTAAAACCAAAAACCACCCTATGAATACTTTACTTACAAACATCTGTTTGTAACAGATGTTTGACAGTTTGACAGTCGACGTCCCATATATATGTCTAAAAAAGTCGTGCCACGTTTGTGATTTTGGACATATATATTCACATTAGAAAAAAAATACTAAACATCATTTGATTGTCAATAGTTATATTAAGTTTATCGGTGTCGGTGAATCGAAATTTGAGGTCAGATTTAAAAAATTCAAAATGGCGGACCCAATATGCCGAACAATGTAAAATTGATTCTATTCGTTCAAAATTTGGTTTTCAGGGTCGCTGAGTCAAAATTTGATATTATATTTGGATTCAGCGACCCAAAAACCCCCAAGTATCGAATTTTGAATAAACCGAATGAATTTTAAATTTTTTTTCGCCATTTTGAATTTTTTAAATCTGACATCAAATTTCGATCCAGCGACCCTAAAAACTTTTAATAGAATGATATGATATATTTTTGGAAAATTTTTTTTATTGTTTTGGGCCTAAAAATTATTTTTCTACTAGACTGCGACGGGATTAATATTTATGAAATGTTTTTTAGAGTTGAGGGTTGTTATTTAACAGTAATTTTACAGACGTTTAAGATCTCAAATTAGACCGTCATCTGTACAATAACGTAAGTGTTAAGAATTTAATTCAAATTTTACAGATGTGTTAAGAGATAAGGGTGGTTTTTTAATATTTTAATTTATGACTAAAATATTTAGGGGATGGTTTTTGGGTGTAAGGGTGCATTTTTAAAAATTTCATTTGGAGCTACTTAAAAGCCTTAAATTAACCATAAACTACTGCAAAGAATAATTACAAAATTAAAAATTCTTGACGTTCAGGTAGTGGTTTTGGGGTTAAAGGGGTAGTGTTTTGAAAAATTATTTTGGAAACCTGTGAAATAACTTACATATTTCTTGATTATAAACATTATTATTCTTTTATCTTGAATAAACAGGCGGACAATAGTTTAAGTCCTAAATACCGTAAAATTCAACCTTTAAAGGGTGGTTCCTACCCTTAAAATTTAGGCTTGGATGATAAAAAAATACGTATCTAATATTTTTCCATATTCTAACTAAAAATCTTTGGCCGAACAAAATCGGTGAGTCTGGGTTCCGTAGTGTTAATTGTAAGTATTTCAATATTATTTAATAAATCAGAAAATCAGTCAGGGTCTCGTAGATTTTCTATTGAACGTTTTATACCCATTTGAGCAGCCCTACAA